CCATATCGACCAAAGATATACACAGCCTCTAAAAGCATTATACGCCCGCCAAAATGTATATAACACAAAGACTAATCGTTTAAAAAAAATGTCGTTTTCTATACTTAACATTATGTTGTGTAAAAATTTCCTAATTTAAGGTGAAGGACACAGACAAGACAATTAATCTATTACACTCAAATACATACTTAATGAAAATTTTGGAGGCAAATTTTTTGTCGCCAGCTATATAATTATACAATGAAAATTTACATACGTATGTAAAAGTATGTGTGGGTTGACAATTTAAAATTTCATTTTGCTGGCATTGACACTCATATTTGAAAATGATTTTTTACGTTAGAGATATATATATATGTATGTATATAGAACACATGTGTATGATTGTAATTCGTCACAAAAATATTTTTAAACACGTAATAATTTGATATTTTTTTTACAACAAATCAAGGTTAATATAATTTAAACCAAAAAAAATCAAGAAAAACCTCCAAAAAACTTAAACGGAGGATACAAATTTAGACAAAAAAAAAAAAAATATATAAAAATTGAACAAAAAATAAAAAAATTTCAATGAAGCCAAACTAACAAAGAATTTTCAATAAAGAAAAATATTAAAATTATTAAAAACATATTTCAAGGCTTAGTCACTGACACTAAATCATCCCCCACATTTTCAACGACAACGACATTTCCCCAACAATTTAATGTTACAAAAATATTACTGCACTTTTCTTTTCACAAATTTTTTTTTTTGAGCATTTTATAATAAAATAAATAGAAATATTTTCATTATGATTAAAATGCATTAAATTTTATTAATTTTTATTGTTGCAGACAATAAACATAAAATGACTAATTTATTAAATTGTGACTGTGTCTCTGTGTTTACTGCATTAAGAATAGAATAGATTTATTTTATTTTTATTTTTTGCATTATTGAAAAATATATATATATTTTAACAAATAGAAATCATAAAAGAAAAAAATTATCTACAACAAATTCATTTTACAAATGGCATTTGGCCAAACTACTTGAGATCAACAAACGATAGAAACTGAGACAATAAAATAAAATAAAAAAACCGATAAACGGAAAAATAATGCACCAAATCAGCTCACCAGCCCACTATTTCTACACATACACAAATAAAGAAAAATTCCCCCCAAAATCTCCCATATTTATACAGTTACAAAACAAATGTATTGAATTGTAAAAAAATGTAGTAAAACTTTTAAAAATTCAACAAACAAATAAAAATTATTGCAGTAATAAATTGTAATATTTACTATATAAAAAATATACTAAATACTCGAAAATAAAATTTCTTAAAAAAAAAAACATAAATTTTGTAATATTTATTACCACATTTTATGTAGTATCAAGCTGAGTGGTGAATTTTGAAAATCAGGTGTTTGTAAACTTTACAAATGCTTTTTCTTTAATTTTTGCCTAAAAGCTTTTCACGTGAAACCTACAGCTGTTACAATGAGAGCAGGACAGCTTTTTGGGACATCACTAGCGGAAATGCTCTTCACATTACATTGTGAGAGAGATTATTATATTCACCTCAAAGTGATCAACTTTTATTGAGATTATGATAATTCTTTTGTTTATATTGAGAGTGACAAACAATTGATTAGTTTGTGAATACAAATTTATTTCCTTCTCTTTTGATTTAATTTATTAAGTTATTCAGTAATAATATTGAACTTTTATTAATATTTGTTTGCGGTTGTAAAAGAGATACAGTGGATCTGGATAGACTAGTCAGCAGAACAGTAAACTTGTCCATTGACTAGTTAATGGACTTATCTACTAGTCTAGATCTGAACTAGAACTGAACTAGAACTGAACTAGAACTGAACTAGAACTAGAACTGAACTAGAACTGAACTAGAACTGAACTAGAACTGAACTAGAACTGAACTAGAACTGAACTAGAACTGAACTAGAACTGAACTAGAACTGAACTAGAACTGAACTAGAACTGAACTAGAACTGAACTAGAACTGAACTAGAACTGAACTAGAACTGAACTAGAACTGAACTAGAACTGAACTAGAACTGAACTAGAACTGAACTAGAACTGAACTAGAACTGAACTAGAACTGAACTAGAACTGAACTAGAACTGAACGAACTAGAACTGAACTAGAACTGAACTAGAACTGAACTAGAACTGAACTAGAACTGAACTAGAACTGAACTAGAACTGAACTAGAAACTAGAACTGAACTAGAACTGAACTAGAACTGAACTAGAACTGAACTAGAACTGAACTAGAACTGAACTAGAACTGAACTAGAACTGAACTAGAACTGAACTAGAACTGAACTAGAACTGAACTAGAACTGAACTAGAACTGAACTAGAACTGAACTAGAACTGAACTAGAACTGAACTAGAACTGAACTAGAACTGAACTAGAACTGAACTAGAACTGAACTAGAACTGAACTAGAACTGAACTAGAACTGAACTAGAACTGAACTAGAACTGAACTAGAACTGAACTAGAACTGAACTAGAACTGAACTAGAACTGAACTAGAACTGAACTAGAACTGAACTAGAACTGAACTAGAACTAGAACTGAACTAGAACTGAACTAGAACTGAACTAGAACTGAACTAGAACTGAACTAGAACTGAACTAGAACTGAACTAGAACTGAACTAGAACTGAACTAGAACTGAACTAGAACTGAACTAGAACTGAACTAGAACTGAACTAGAACTGAACTAGAACTGAACTAGAACTGAACTAGAACTGAACTAGAACTGAACTAGAACTGAACTAGAACTGAACTAGAACTGAACTAGAACTGAACTAGAACTGAACTAGAACTGAACTAGAACTGAACTAGAACTGAACTAGAACTGAACTAGAACTGAACTAGAACTGAACTAGAACTGAACTAGAACTGAACTAGAACTGAACTAGAACTGAACTAGAACTGAACTAGAACTGAACTAGAACTGAACTAGAACTGAACTAGAACTGAACTAGAACTGAACTAGAACTGAACTAGAACTGAACTAGAACTGAACTAGAACTGAACTAGAACTGAACTAGAACTGAACTAGAACTGAACTAGAACTGAACTAGAACTGAACTAGAACTGAACTAGAACTGAACTAGAACTGAACTAGAACTGAACTAGAACTGAACTAGAACTGAACTAGAACTGAACTAGAACTGAACTAGAACTGAACTAGAACTGAACTAGAACTGAACTAGAACTGAACTAGAACTGAACTAGAACTGAACTAGAACTGAACTAGAACTGAACTAGAACTGAACTAGAACTGAACTAGAACTGAACTAGAACTGAACTAGAACTGAACTAGAACTGAACTAGAACTGAACTAGAACTGAACTAGAACTGAACTAGAACTGAACTAGAACTGAACTAGAACTGAACTAGACTGAACTAGAACTGAACTAGAACTGAACTAGAACTGAACTAGAACTGAACTAGAACTGAACTAGAACTGAACTAGAACTGAACTAGAACTGAACTAGAACTGAACTAGAACTGAACTAGAACTGAACTAGAACTGAACTAGAACTGAACTAGAACTGAACTAGAACTGAACTAGAACTGAACTAGAACTGAACTAGAACTGAACTAGAACTGAACTAGAACTGAACTAGAACTGAACTAGAACTGAACTAGAACTGAACTAGAACTGAACTAGAACTGAACTAGAACTGAACTAGAACTGAACTAGAACTGAACTAGAACTGAACTAGAACTGAACTAGAACTGAACTAGAACTGAACTAGAACTGAACTAGAACTGAACTAGAACTGAACTAGAACTGAAACTAGAACTGAACTAGAACTGAACTAGAACTGAACTAGAACTGAACTAGAACTGAACTGAACTAGAACTAGAACTGAACTAGAACTGAACTAGAACTGAACTAGAACTGAACTAGAACTGAACTAGAACTGAACTAGAACTGAACTAGAACTGAACTAGAACTGAACTAGAACTGAACTAGAACTGAACTAGAACTGAACTAGAACTGAACTAGAACTGAACTAGAACTGAACTAGAACTGAACTAGAACTGAACTAGAACTGAACTAGAACTGAACTAGAACTGAACTAGAACTGAACTAGAACTGAACTAGAACTGAACTAGAACTGAACTAGAACTGAACTAGAACTGAACTAGAACTGAACTAGAACTGAACTAGAACTGAACTAGAACTGAACTAGAACTGAACTAGAACTGAACTAGAACTGAACTAGAACTGAACTAGAACTGAACTAGAACTGAACCAGAACTGAACTAGAATTATTGACCAGTTCACTGATTAGTTAGTAGACTTATCCATCAAGTAGACAATATACTAATCAATGGACTAGTTAATAACAACAGTCAATAGACTAGTCTTTAGACGAAATAATCTATTGACTGATCAAGAAATTTGTCTGTGGACTAAAGGACGAAAAGTAATTTAGTACCTTCAATCCTAAAAAAGTACCTAAGATTAGTAAAATTAAAAAAAATCTAGGGCCTTACAATCAGTATTAAATATAGTTTAGATTACATAAACCCCTGACTAAAATCCCAAAATAAAATTAATAATATTTTTAAACTTTATTTAAATTTTAAAACTTCCGTGAATCAAATTCCCTTAAAATGTACTCCAACGATGTAAATATTTAAGTGTAAAACGCACGCTGCATGTTGCATTATTGTATTTAATTTAGAACCCAATTATCTGTGTAGTGTATATAATTATAAATGTTTTATCTAATAAATATAAATCTAATTTGAAAATCCTCTAATGTTTCAAATAGCCCGCTTTATCCAAAACGAAAAAACTAAATAAATCTTAATCTATCCCAATTGTTAAATGTTTAAATTACAAATAAAAACAGCTGATAACAATAATTATTAAAATCTTAATTTTTCTACTTCTACGCCGTAATCACTTGACCTAATGTCAAATGCAAATAAAAAAAACTCAACTCGACACAAACAGACAAACCACAATGTCGTAAATGTTCCAAGGCATTGCAAGAATTGGAAAATATTGACGATGAAGCCGATCAATTGGGCATCGGTTTTGTTAAGATCCATGATGAAGCATTAGCGGAAGAATACAATCTGGGCAATTTGCCAGCATTGGTCTACTATAGACATCAGACACCGATCATTTACGAAGGTAATGTGATGATGTTCCTTGCAGACCCCCCTCCTTCATAACATCATACCTACAGTCAGTCATACATTCAAAAGACCCTCATCACGATATCCAATTACAAACAAACGCTTAAATACAACAAAAACGAAATCTATTAAAATTTAAACATTTTAAAATTCAGGTGAATTGTCACGCGAAGAAGATGTATTAGAGTGGTTGGTGCAAAATAAATCCACCGGCGATGAAGATGATGTCATTGAGGACGTTACTCCTAAAACACTGGCCACCCTTATCAGCAACATCGACAATTTGGTAGTTTTGTTTTGTATGTGAACATTTTCTCGGGTCTTCTCGTCATAGAGCAAGACTTTTTTTAAAATCGTTTAAACCATTAATTGTTGTGCTGTTACTTTTTCTGTCTAGATGATCATGGAAATGATGATTCTATGACCGTTTTGGAAGAGCTAGAACAAATTGATGACGACTGCGATAAACATGGCATACAATTCGTAAAAATTGATGATGCCAGGACCGCAGAAGAATTCGGAATCGATTCGGTACGTCTTAAGCTTAATACGCTGCAGTAGTATTTGCCATATGTTGTTACTAATTCAAGCACTTTAATGCAGATTCCGGCTATAGTTTATTTCGAAAAAGAGATCCCCAACATTTATGATGGTGATCTCATGGATGAGGAACAAATATTGCATTGGCTGGTCTCCCAGTTGGAACATGATGAAATCGAAGATGTCACCGATGAAATGCTCGATAAAATGGTTAAAGAGGGTCGTGTTCTAGCTGTACTATTCTGTAATTATTCTCCGTTTACATTTCTCTTAAACTCAGAGACAGAACTCATGTTTTCTTAATTGTATTGCATGTAGACGATAACAATGATGAAAAATCCGAAAAGGTTTTGGAGGAATTGGAAAACATTGACGATGAATGCGATCAATTGGGCATTACATTCGTTAAAATCGATAATCCCGAGGAGGCCTTAGAATATGGCATCAATAAAGTTCCTAAACTCATATACTTTGAAAAAGGCATTCCAACCATTTACGAAGGCAACCTAGAGGATGAACAGAAACTTTTGAAATGGCTAGAAGAACAAACCAGCTCCGATCAAATCGAAGATATCACCGATGAAATGTTAGATTTGATTATAGAAAAAATGGCCCACGTAGCTGTGCTCTTTTGTAAGTTAAAGAAAATAAAATGCGTTTGCTTTCCGAAAAGCCTGGCACTCAAGCGGGAATTAAATTGAAACTTTGTGAAGGTAGTAAATATTTCGAGAACACAAACACCACAGACTGAATAAAGTGTTGTAGTAAGCAGTCATTTCGATGTTGTTCGTGTTGTGCTAGTTGTGAGGTTGTATAGGACGCTGCTTTGCTAATGCTTAAAATCTACTTCAAAACAAATATTAATTTCTATCTTAAAAAACTATTTAATGTTGTAAAATGTTGTCCAAATTAATTTAAAACTAATTTGATTTTCAGAGAGGTTGGGATAAAAGTATAAAAACTACTGGATTAAATGAAATGCTTCAAAAATATAGGTTAGGGCTCTAAGGTCAGGAAAGTCATGTAATAGTCTGTAATTAGGTTTTAGGCAACTATCGAACTTTCAAAGAACCACTGGCAACTGTTTTAATTATATTTAATTTTATAAAATGCAATTTAATAATTACCCAACACATCATTTCACAGACGACAAGGATCAAAAGAAATCCCAAAAGGTTTTGGCTGAATTGGAAAACATTGATGATGAATGTGATCAAAACGATATTGCTTTTGTTAAAATCGATGACGACAATGAAGCCAAAGAATGGGGTATCGATGAAATACCCTCAATAGTTTTATTCGAACGTGGCATTCCTCACGTCTACGAAGGTGATTTAATGAAAGAAGACGAATTATTGGGCTGGTTGGTTCATCAAAAGCGTTATTCGGAAATTCCTGAAGTTACCGATGAAATGAAGGATAAATTGGTTGAAAATACTGAACATTTGGCTGTTATATTCTGTAAGTTTTAACTCATTAATTTTTGGAGGCTCTAACTAATATTGAACTATTTGTCCTTCAGACGACAAGGATGATAAACAAGACATTCGCATTTTGAATGAATTGGAAAATATCGATGATGAATTGGAAAAGGAAGGTATTGTTATTGTACGCATTGATAATGCCGCCGAAGCTAAGGAATACGGTTTGGATCATTTGCCCGCTTTGATCTATTTCGAAAACAAGATCCCTGCCTTGTACGAGGGTGATTTGATGAATGAAGATGAAGTTTTGGAATGGTTGATCTTGCAAAAGAAAACCGCCACCATTGAAGAAGTCACCGATGAAATCCTTACCAATTTGGTTAACGATCATGAATACGTTGTAGTCTTCTTCAGTGGCCCCTGTGAACCAGGCGAGAAATGCGACAAGACTTTGAATGCTTTGGAGACCATCGATGATGAATTGGATGAGACTGGCATTATTTTTGTGACCACCGAAGATACCGGCATTGCCAAGAAACTCAACATTAAATCGTATCCCCAATTGGTGTTCTTTAGAAATCGTGATCCTTTGCATTTCACCGGCGATTTGGAAGACGAAGATGAAGTTCTCTCTTGGATTACCGATGAAGATACTCTAGAAATTCCCGGCAAAATTGAAGATGTCAATGTTAAGATGTTGGACAAGATTTTGGCTGAAAATGAACATGTTGTTGTATTCTTCTGTAAGTTTTGAAAGGGTTGTAACGGAAGGAATTGGTCTAAAGTTTAATTATTTCTTTTAATTACAGATGATGAAGATGACAAGAAATCGTTGAAGATCTTAAATGAATTGGAAAATATCGATGATGAATGCGAAGAAAAGAACATTGATTTTGTCAAGACCTCAGACGATGATGTCGAAAAGGAATACGATTTGCCCGGTTTGCCTGCTTTGGCTTTCTATAGAAACAAATTCAGAACTATTTACACTGGTAAGCGGAAAACTAAGAAATCATTTTAAGTATTTAGATCACTGATCGAATACTCTGTTAACAACTCTTTATATTATGTTTATTTTTCTGTTTTCAGGCGATCTTATGAAGGAAGAAGAAATCTTGGAATGGGTTCTTGAATTGTACGAATCTACTGCTGATGTTATTGAATCTGTCGATCGTAAAACTTTGCAAGTTTTGATCAATGATGTTGAACATTTGGCTGTGTTCTTCTGTAAGTTGACAATTTATATTTCGTGTTATAAACCATTAATAACTTTATGATTCCTTTATAAATACCCGAGATTAAAGCAGTTACTAATCCTTCTTTCTTGAATTTTAACTCTTTTTATTGCAGATGATGACAAATGTGTGTCTTGCCAGGGTATTTTGGAAGAATTGGAAAATATCGATGATGACACCGATAAGCATGGCATTCAATTTGTCAAATCAAATGATGTTAAGTTGGCCCATGAAATTGGCATTTTCGCCTTCCCTGCCTTGGTTTACTACGAAACAGGCGTTCCAATCATGTATGACGGTAAGTTGAATTTCAAATGTTAAATTGTCAAATATAACAAATGGAAAACTAATGGAAATTGTATTCTCTTGGGTGTCATTTCAGGTAATCTCAAAAATGAAAATCGTGTACTGCAGTGGTTAATCAATCAAAAGAGTAAGCTTTTTCAAAACAAAAACTTAATTTTACACCTTGTTAACAACGAAAAAAAAAGAATAATTTACCATTAACCAATTTAACCCATAAACAAAAAAAAAGCTATATGTGAACATTTATCTTGTTAACTAACACTTCTAGCAGCACCAGATATCACATCCTAACGCTAAAGTTGTCATGTAAACAAAATTTTTATTCCTAAAGGGAATTTGTTTTGTTGCTCCCAACTTGGGCAGGGTGTGCTATTGTTTTTGGTGTTTTTTATTCCAAAAAGTGATTTAACTGTTCAAAAAAGGTCTATCCTCTATTTTTCCCCCTTATAAATTGGAATAATTTTAAATAAAATATTTTTTGTAATTACAGTTGAGATTATGAAAAAGTTAATATTTGGAGCTTTAAAAATTTTAAATCATTGTCTACCAAAAATAATGGCATTGATTTCTTGGCTCTAATTTTTATAGCATTTTACAACGAGTGACTTTAAAATTCTACAAGTTAAATTCTACTCTCGAAAAACAAAAACAAAAAAAACGAACGCTCTGCAAATCTTCTGCATTTCTTATTATTATTTACTTATTTCTTCTCAAATCAAAAAGACTGAAACTTTAATTTATATTTGGATAAATTTTTACTTAAAACAAACTTCTCATTAAACGTATCTTTTAGGTATTGATGATTTTTTTATATATATAATTATTTTTTTTTACTTTTATTTAGTTTCTTTATTTGATATTTTTAGAAAGTTATTAGCTTTTCCTTAAACAACCTATTGACGTCTTTGAAAACTTCTGTATTTGAGCACGGTGTTTTATTGTTTCGAAAGTAAGGTCTCTGAGTTAGAATCATGAATTTTATAAAGATAAATCTGTCAAAATTTATAAAGTAAAGTAAATGGTTAATCTTTAATAAGTAAAGTGAAGTTGTACAACATTTCTGTTCTAGACCAACGGGCTTTTTTTCGAAGGGGTCCCGAGAAAAAGCATTAGGATTTCAAACCTAAGAACCAAAGAATCAGAACCGACTTATAAAAGGACTCACTATTAGACTAGACTATAGACTAGACTATAGACTAGACTACAAACTAGACTATATACCAGACTATAGACTAGACTATAGACTAGACTATAGACTAGACTATAGACTAGACAATAGACTAGACTATAGACTGGACTATAGACCGGACTATAGACTAAACTAGACTAGACTAGACTAGACTATAGACTAGACTATAGACTAGACTATAGACTAGACTATAGACTAGACTATAGACTAGACTATAGACTAGACTATAGACTAGACTATAGACTAGACTATAGACTAGACTATAGACTAGACTATAGACTAGACTATAGACTAGACTATAGACTAGACTATAGACTAGACTATAGACTAGACTATAGACTAGACTATAGACTAGACTATAGACTAGACTATAGACTAGACTATAGACTAGACTATAGACTAGACAATAGACTAGACTATAGACTAGACAATAGACTAGACTATAGACTGGACTATAGACTGGACTATAGACTAGACTATAGACTAGACTATAGACTAGACTATAGACTAGACTATAGACTAGACTATAGACTAGACTATAGACTAGACTATAGACTAGACTATAGACTAGACTATAGACTAGACTATAGACTAGACTATAGACTAGACTATAGACTAGACTATAGACTAGACTATAGACTAGACTAGGACTAGACTAGACTAAACTACACTATATACCAGACTATAGACTAGACTATAGACTAGACTATAGACTAGACTATAGACTAGACTATAGACTAGACTATAGACTAGACTATAGACTAGACTATAGACTAGACAATAGACTAGACTATAGACTAGACAATAGACTAGACTATAGACTGGACTATAGACTGGACTATAGACTAGACTATAGACTAGACTATAGACTAGACTATAGACTAGACTATAGACTAGACTATAGACTAGACTATAGACTAGACTATAGACTAGACTATAGACTAGACTATAGACTAGACTATAGACTAGACTATAGACTAGACTATAGACTAGGACTATAGACTAGACTATAGACTAGGCTATAGACTAGACTATAGACTAGACTATAGACTAGACTATAGACTAGACTATAGACTAGACTATAGACTAGACTATAGACTAGACTATAGACTAGACTATAGACTAGACTATAGACTAGACTATAGACTAGACTATAGACTAGACTATAGACTAGACTATAGACTAGACTATAGACTAGACTATAGACTAGACTATAGACTAGACTATAGACTAGACTATAGACTAGACTATAGACTAGACTATAGACTAGACTATAGACTAGACTATAAACCAGACTATAGACTAGACTATATACCAGACTATAGACTAGACTATAGACTAGACTATAGACTAGACTATAGACTAGACAATAGACTAGACTATAGACTGGACTATAGACCGGACTATAGACTAGACTATAGACTAGACTATAGACTAGACTATAGACTAGACTATAGACTAGACTATAGACTAGACTATAGACTAGACTACAAACTACACTATATACCAGACTATAGACTAGACTATAGACTAGACTATGGACTAGACTATAGACTAGACTATAGACTAGACAATAGACTAGACTATAGACTAGACAATAGACTAGACTATAGACTGGACTATAGACTGGACTATAGACTAGACTATAGACTAGACTATAGACTAGACTATAGACTAGACTATAGACTAGACTATAGACTAGACTATAGACTAGACTATAGACTAGACTATAGACTAGACTATAGACTAGACTATAGACTAGACTATAGACTAGACTATAGACTAGACTATAGACTAGACTATAGACTAGACTATAGACTAGACTATAGACTAGACTATAGACTAGACTAGACTATAGATTAGACTATAGACGTCAAATTGACAACAGTGTCCATGACATAAGCTGACAAATCACAAGGTGCTCAGAGATCTAATGAGAGAAAAACAAACGACACTGTGCTCAATTATTTTTATCAATAAAAACTTCCCGCCCCTTCCCCTTATAAATACATATTTTTTTTCTTAAATGCATGAATACAAATATTTTATTAAAATCACACACTATACTTTCAATTTAATGCACTTTTAATTTGTAAAATATTTCTTAAAAATTTATCTAATTTTTTTTCTTAGAAATTACTCAAAACCTTTAATAATCTAAAAAAATATTATTTATAAATTCAGAAAAACATAGCTGACACAATGTTTTGTTTAAAAAAATTAAAAAAAAAAACTTAAAAAATTTATTTAAATTATAATTAATTAATATTGTTTTTTTAACAAAAATTAAATGAAAACTTTGCTTATGACAATTCTTTTTGTTTATAAAATTTATTATTAAAAACAATTATTTTAAATAAAAAAATAAACAAAAATCTGTAACGAAAATAAACATTTTGTAATTTTAGGTATTTTATAGTTTTTTTTTTTTGCTAAAAATATATTTTAAAATTTAATTGAAAATCACACACACTTATTGACTTGTAATGATTGTAAATAACCAAAAAAAAACCAAACAATGGCTATAAATTGATTGTAACAACAAAAATTATTTATTAGTTAATTCTTTACGTTTAAAACCAAAGAAAGAAAAGAAACCAATGTCAGCAACAAAAGCATTTTGTCAGTTATTAGTTTTTGTTTAAATAATTACTTGTTCTATAATATTTTATTCTATTTCTTATGGAATTTTATTATTTAAAATGTTATTTTGCATTATAATTTTTGTTTGACAATTAAGAAACAAAAAAAAAAAGAGAAAGCACGCTTTTTTAATAATATCAAAATAATTAAAAGAATTTTATAAAACACAATTATAAAAACTTTGTAAATGCAGTAAATAAATAATACTTTTGTTTTTTTCTTTATCTATAAAGAAAAAATTTAAATGTTGAAATTAATTTACTAACTTTTTTTCACTGTCTTTTTATAAGGAAATTTAATTTAATTTAATTTTCTAAAAATAAAAAATAAATTGGCTAAAAAAAATAGCAAAAAGTTTTGAAATTGTATGAAATAATTGTTTAAATTAAAATTAAACAATAAATTAAAAATTTAAATATTTTCAACTAAAATGTATGAATCTGACAAAATGTTTTTGTTTAATTTGCCAACAGATGACGAATGTTTCTATGTTGGATTGGGTCAAGAAGGCCGTTCAGCCAAGCGTGGTAACAATAACGCGCCCGATAATTATAAACCATTCCAATGCTGTCCAACAAAATTGGAAAAATCAACTAAAGTTCCTAAAATGACTGCTCAAAGAATCGGACACACAGCTAACAGCGAGGGAGGCAAAAGACAACAAGGCAACTTCCAATTTGGCACCCCCGATTCCACACCCGTCAGCAATGCAAAAAGCTCCACTGCCAGCAAAAGCAAAAGCCAAAAATCAAAAAAACCCGTCCCTAAAGCGGCCAAGAAACCAGTAGTAGTCGACTCTGATGAAGATGATGAGGATGAAGACGACAACGATGATGAAGATGATGACGACAGCACTGAAGAGCCCTTGGTTAAGGTTTCCTATGCCAAACACAAGACCAGCAACAAACCCGCCGCTAAAGCCGAAAAATTACCCACCATTAAGCCCGCCTCAAAATCCGCTACCGCCTCGAAAAAGACTCTTGCTAAAAACGAAGATAAATTGAATGTTAAAACCGGTACGTTTGATTTTGGCAAATTTCTTGTTTGGTAGATATTTTTTTGTTTAGCAGTTGTTGCAAAAAAAAATTTGTTAGTGAAAATTCTTAGAATTCTTGAGTTTTGTCTATTTTCTTCTATTGTGTTACTTTTTTTTTCTCTTC